TAAAACAAAATTATATTTAACGTTATCAATAGTTCAAGCTAAATACTTGAACAAAACTAATTAATAAGGGAAAAAAATTTTGTTTAAAACAAAATTATATTTAACGTTATCAATAGTTCAAGCTAAATACTTGAACAAAACTAATTAATAAGGGAAAAAAAAATTTGTTTAAAACAAAATTATATTTAACGTTATAAGCTAAATACTTGAACAAAACTAATTAATAAGGGAAAAAATTTTTTTTTTAAAAAAAAAGTTTTTAAAAAAAGGTCGGAATGTCCACATCTTTCTTGAAAACGTATCTCATAGTAAGAGGTTTAAAGATATGGAATGTAGTAATTAAGGCAAGAGCAAAAGCGGACCATCGTATAACAGAATCTTGTTGCTCATACCAAATACCATATAAAGTCCAAGCAATTACAGCTGCACCAGCAAAATCACCTCTAAATTTCTCAATATAACCAATTGCAGTGCACTCCATGAAAAGAAGTCCCAAAATCACTAAAATTTGAACAATTATGCTAGGACTTTCATAGACAGTAGCGGCATTAGCAATTGCTGTATCATTGGTGACAGTTTCGATAGCGGCTGCATCATAAGCGACTGCTCTATCAGGTGCAAAAGTTGCGTATACCGTAAGAACAGCGATTACTAAAATCCATGCGTGATATAAAGAGAATGGGGCATGCATGAAAAAAAGTTTAAACGTATCTTTAGGACGTTCAGAATCAAATATTTTTCTAGTGGGAAATGCTTTCAAATGCCAATAAACCCAGGAGACCTGCACTAAGATCACAATAACGACGATAAAGCCAAGAAAGAGAAAATCTAGTTCCTTTAAACAGGAGATTGTGTATTTTAAAAATAATTTTAAAAATTTGGTAATATGTAATTAAAGTGAACTTAAATATGAGATTTAAATATAAGAATACCCAAAGGAAAAGCCATAAAGAATTCAATAATGCTATGGCTACAAAGTGATAACTAATTGCTTTAATTATTTCGTCATTGTCTGGGCAAAATTGATAAATAACTATACAAAATATAATTTAAAAAAATTCAGCTTTTTTTCTTTATGTAAAATCTTATCGAATCGAAGCAATATTCACATTCTAACTTACCAAAGCATCCTAATAAAAGATGAATAAGAAACCATACATAGAACGTAAAATAGGCCGGAGTAATGTACGTTGTATGGTAGAGAAAATACGGGCTTTTCTCCTAAAATTTTCATTAAAAAAAAAATGTAAATCGTATTACGATAATTTTTTAACATAGAATTCTTAATAAAATATTCTGTTAATCTATTTAACAACATTATTCACACACATATAAGCGTATGTACTCAAAATTATCAATTTATAAAAAAAAAACCGATGGTCACGAAAAAGAATTGGAAAATTAAAAACCTGGCTAGGCCCGAGATCACCATAAATATTAGCCCCCAAAAGAAATACATATGCTAACAAGTTCCCAATTTTCCAAAATATTGACATTTTATTTTAAAGGATAAAAAATATTATTTTATTCGTTATTTTTCACGATAAATGAAAAACGAATTTGCTTAGGATAAAATAAAGACAAGGATGAGAAGAGAGAAAGGCAATGCTCTCTCAATGAATATAATTTTGAGCAAAAGAGCTGGTACAGACAAGTAAGGCTAAGCTTTAGAGTACATATGTTTATTGTTTACGATATTGAATAAACAGGCGATGTCTTACAAAAATGAGGGAATCACTTATGAAATTTTGTCAAGTCATCGATGAATGTGTAGGCTTTGAAAATAAATATTTGGGTAATAATCACTGCGCCAACAGTACGTGTTTGTAATCACATATAATCAGTCATATTTATATTAATAAATCATAGATGTCTTCCAAAAAAAAAGATTTCAATATGCATTAATTAATACCATAATGCATGTCAACTCAACTGAATAATTGTCCTTTTATATATGCGCGTAGAACATATCACTAATAATTAAAGTGACAAACTCTCAAACCAACATACCGTTATTTATCTTAATTAAATCTTCCATTTTTAAATAACGGCTGATCCTGCAAAAACCTACGTATTAAGATTTCAAGAATAGCTTTGGTTCTGGCTATTGTTATCTCTATCAAATTTTAAATAACTTTTATGACGACTATAGTGATCACAGATACTACAGTGCTCAAAGTTAGTGTTCTCAGAGTTTCTGCCTATATTTTAAATTATTATATTGTACTTGTGAAAACAGTATTTAAGCAAAAAGCATAGCTTTAGTAATTTCAGAATGAATGCAACTACACGTATCTTGATTTTTGAATTTTCGGATCAAATATACCCGGTGTAGGTGACCCAATGTTTCTGTGTTTTTGGATCAAATATAGGCAACCTTGAACAAAGTTTCAAGAAACACAAAAACACCAGGGTCACCTATACAATATTTGATCCGGCAAGATTCCAGAAACGCAGAAAAATCGTATAAAAATTAAATGAGCTTGTGATAATATTTATTATTCACACGAAAATAACCTTTTTTAGAAATTTGCCTTTTCATAATGATGTTAGTCTGTTTACAGAAAAAAAATTATGATTTTATTTAGTATAAAAATCCAGTTAACAAATTAAATCAGAAATACAAATTAAAAAAATAATCTTTTGTAAGGTGAAAATATTGATTTTTTGTAAATTTTTATTTAATATAAACATATCTAGTTTTGATTTTGTTACAATAAAATGCTAAGGGTGTGGTGACTTAGTGAAGTGGTGAAGTTGTCGCACCCCCAAGCGGTTGAGTACAAGTTCAATTCCCACTGG